ATGTTGCGCATGGATGGTGTCCCTGTTTGTACTTTTGGTGTGCATTGCAGAGGCCACATTTGGAGCCCTTTGTTACGGCTTAGGGTTTATTAATAGTAATGAGGCTATTGCTTAGTTGTTAAATAGTGTACTGAGTACTATCTATACTTGAGTCAAGTTCTTTATAAATTTAAAATGACTAAAGTACCTAAAACTAAAAAACACAAAAAACCATCGTCATCACCAAGTTCTCTAAACCTATCATTTACTAATATTCGTGGTCTTCGAAGTAACTTTTCTTCTGTTGAGTCTTATCTCTTGCAAAGTTCACCAGACCTACTTGCTTTTTGTGAAACTAATTTGAGTTCGGCTGTCCCATCTTGTGATCTTAGTGTTGATGGTTATCTTCCTTTAATTCGTAAAGACTCCAATAATCACATGCTTGGCCTGGGCATTTACATTTGTAAGAACTCACCCATTTGTCGTGAAACTAGGTTTGAATCTACAGACTATTCATTTATGTGCTTTCGTTTAGCACAACTTCACTCTATCGCCTTTCTCTTTGTTCTATATCGCTCTCCTTCATCCCAAGATTGCACTATTCTTGATGTTATTTCTGATCAAATTGACCAAGCCCTCTCTCTTTATCCATCGGCCAATATCGTCGTTGTTGGTGACTTCAATGCCCATCACACCGATTGGCTTGGCTCTAGTGTCAGTGACTCTGCTGGCGTTATGGCCCTCAACTTTTGCCTTTCTCAATCTCTAACTCAAATAGTCAACTTTCCAACTCGTTTTCCAGACAACCCTAATCATTTACCTTCTCTACTCGACTTATGTCTTGTTTTGGATCCTAGTCAGTGCTCAATCTCTCCACATTCACCCTTAGGTACTTCTGATCACGGTTTGATCTCTCTAAAACTATTATCAAATTCTTCTACTTCATCAGAATCCCCCTATCATCGTACCACATACAACTACCTTAAAGCTGACTGGGACTCTTTCCGTGATTTTCTTCGTGATGGCCCTTGGGTAGAAATCTTTCGTCTTCCTGCTGACAAATGTGCTTCTTACATAACTTCGTGGATTCAGGCTGGCATGGAATCTTTTATTCCCTCTCGACGATTCCAGGTCAAGCCTCACTCTTCTCCTTGGTTTTCCTCACATTGCGCTGCAGCAATTTCTAATCGAAACCGTTACTTCCATATCTATCAGCAAAACAATTCTCCAGAAAACAGACATCTGTTCACTATCGCCAGAAACCATTGTAAAAAGGTTTTGTCTGACGCCAAAGCTCGGTATTCCCAGGTCATTAAATCTCGTATCTCATCACAAAAATTAGGCTCTCGAGACTTCTGGAGAATCTTTAACAGTATCAATAATAAGGGCAAATCTGTTATTCCTTCTCTCTTGTATGGTTCAGACTTTGTCACCTCACCTAAAGACAAAGCTGAATTGTTTGCTAAGAACTTTTCATCAATATCATCTCTTGATTCTACTAGTTGCGTTTTACCTGACATAGCCGTCAAACAGGTTGATCCCTTGCTTGACATTCGCATCACTTCAGCTTCTGTATCTAAAGTAATTTCCTGCTTAGACTCTTCAACAGCTTGTGGTCCTGACAACATTCCTGTTGTAGTTTTGCAGAGGTGTTCTCCGGAGCTTTCATCCATACTTTCTAAACTATTTAACAAGTGCTTATCAGAGTCTTGTTTTCCATCATGCTGGAAAGCAGCATCTGTTATCCCTATTTTCAAAAATTCCGGAGAGCGATCTGATTCATCTAACTACCGTCCCATTAGTCTTCTTCCTGTCATAAGCAAGGTTTTTGAATCTTTAATCAACAAACACTTAATCTCTCATCTTGAATCAAATAACTTACTTTCTGATCATCAATATGGATTTCGGTCTTCTCGTTCTACAGCTGATGTGCTAACAGTAATAACCGATAGGTTTTACCGTGCATTAGATAGAGGTGGAGAGGTTAAGGCTATCGCACTTGACATTTCTAAAGCTTTTGATAAAGTTTGGCATGCTGGTCTTCTCCATAAGCTTTCTTCTTATGGTGTAGCTGGTAACGTCTTTAAGATTATTGAGTCCTTTCTTTCCAATCGTAGTATAAAAGTTGTCCTCGATGGACAACACTCTTCTTCACATCCTGTAACTTCAGGGGTTCCTCAAGGTTCAATCCTTGGCCCTATACTCTTTTTAATTTACATTAACGATCTTCCAGATATTCTCACATCTAAGGTGGCATTATTCGCTGACGACACTACCATTTACTCTTGTCATGATAAGAAGCCTACACTCTCTGATTGCTTGGAGGTGGTATCTGAGCTTGAAAAGGATCTCACTTCTGCTACAGCATGGGGCTCACAGTGGCTGGTGAACTTTAATTCAGATAAAACTCAATTTTATTCGGCCAATCGTTATCGTAATAATTTAGATCTTCCTATATTTATGAATGGTAATGTACTAGATGAGTCATCTACCATTCATCTTCTAGGATTAACTTTTACTTCTGATCTTTCTTTTAAACCGTATATCAAATCCATTGCAAAATTAGCATCTGCTAAGGTTGCATCTCTTTATCGAGCTCGACACTTTCTTACTCCAGATTCTATTCTCTATCTCTATAAATCTCAAATCCGTCCCTGTATGGAATACTGTTGCCACATCTGGGGCGGATCTTCTAATGATGCTCTTTCTCTTTTAGACAAGGTGCAAAAACGAATTGTAAACATAGTTGGACCTGCTCTGGCAGCCAATCTCCAACCTTTGTCACATCGTCGTAATGTTGCTTCTCTTTCTCTTTTCTACAAATACTATAATGGGCACTGCTCTAAAGAGCTAGCGTCCCTTGTGCCATCTACTAAAATTCATTCTCGTGTTACTCGCCATTCAATTAAGTCTCATCCTTTTTCTGTGACTGTTCCTAAGTGCTTCAAAAACTCTTATTCTTCTAGTTTTTTTCCTCGAACATCAGTTCTTTGGAATTCGCTTCCTTCATCTTGCTTTCCTGATTCATATAATTTGCAATCTTTTAAGTCATCAGTCAATCGTTATCTTGCTCTACAGATTTAGTCTTTTCTCTTCCAGTAACTTCCAACTCTTATAGTGGTTGCTTGCAGCCTTGTTGGAAGTGAAGATATTAAAAAAAAAAAAAAAAAAAAATTCGCTAAAATTGATTTTTTACAACCCAATACTTATTTTAGACGTTAACCAGTTTTGCAGACTCTGATTTTTGAACAATATAATACCATCAAGAAATGAAAAAAGAAAAAAGAGGAGTTAAAAGGATCACATTTTTAACTTTTTAGAGAAAGTTTTTAGAAAAAGAAGACTTTTTAGAGAAGGTTTTTTAAAGAAAAAGGATTTTAGGATACTAGAGGAGCTGTTACTACTCTAGTCTCACTCTTAATGCTTCTTCTGATCAGCTGATTGTAACAAAATTTAACTTCTAAAAACATTTTCTAAAATCAAAACAAATAATTTTAAGTTAATCTTGTATACCACTACATTCCTTTTGAAACATTGCTTACAAACTGTAAAAACAATAGTTCGCTCCAACCTCTTTCCTACAAATTCCATATTACCACTTTCTGGTAATTTCTGATTGTTCACTCTTGACTTTACAAAGCATAACTTTTGCTTTATTTGTGTTTAACCCTTTTGCATTTCTCTAATGTCTAATTATTAAAATAATTTATACTTTTGTCTCTGTAATCAAGCAAAAAGCGTCTGCATAAAATACCTCTTATGGTAAATTGACTCTGAACTCCTTGGAAAGAGCTTAAAAGACATTGTTGAAAATCAAAGATCTGAGTCCTGTTGCACATAAATCCTGGCCTCAAAACTATCTCTCCATCTTTTGATTTAGTTGGTGCTCTAACATTTTTATGCATAGCTAAGATAACTGTCATCAGCCATTCTTTCCACCGTGCCTCTTATTTTGTTTGCAACAAGATTTTCTAAAACCCTAATTACTTAATCAAGTAGTTTTATTCCTGGATATAAACATTTAAATATAAATATTGGAAGCTACCGTTTGCGGAAAAAAAGATCGTAATGGAGAAAATATATATATATATATATATATATATATATATATATATATATATATATATATATATATATATATATATATATATATATATATATATATATATATATATATATATATATATATATATATATATATATATATATATATATATATATATGTATATTTATATTTACAAAAGTAAATATATACTTAAGCATATTTAAGTTATAATATATATTTACTTTTATATAAAAGTAAACATATACTATAATTATAATATATATTAGCTTTTACTTAATTTTTATTCATAAGTTTATCGGAATATGGTGTTATTTATAAACAACTTCACAAAAAAGCCATCATAAAACAAGCGGGTAAAAATTAGGAAATATCCAAACTTTTCTTAGGTAAATTAAAAAGTCAAATTCTACAGAATTACATTTGTCCCCTAAAAGTAATGGTTTTCAAGATGAAAACCATCACCTAGGAGACAAAAGGTTACAGACTACTTTATCTTTCTTTTTTATTAATACGTTAATTACACCTACAAATCATATCAGGGCCGACGACACGGGTTTTGAAGTAGGGGGGGGGCACAATCATCAATTTGTGAAAAAAATTTTTTTTACTTTTCTTTAAAAAATTATTTCTTAAAAAACAAAGATCCTCAAAATAAAAAGTGAGGGGTACGTTCCCCCTGGCCCCGCCGGTGTCGTCGGCCCTGCATATGATAATACTTATTGCGGTTCATACTAATTGTTTCTGCCAACTGGCAACATAATGAACTCTAATTAAAACAGAGAAATAACATATCCATTTAAAATATCCTCAGTTTTAAAATTAAAAACGCATGCGTACCAAAAAAAAAAAATACGCATGCGTTTGCTATAATATAAAATAATTGTACTATTGATAGCATGCGCAATGTAAATAGAAATTTTTAATTTCAATTTAGAAGCATACCTATTGTGGTACTAGGTTTACAGGTTTACAGAAACAATACGTTATACTCAAAATGGCTAGATACAAAATTTTTTTTAAAAATGCGGAAAAGATTTAGTGAGTATTTATTAAATTAATTTTACGTTAATTAAATTTTTTATAATTTAATGACCTTTTTTTTTGCGGCCAAGTGTTCTTTTAAACTATAACGTCTACATAAAAAACGTCTAGATAAAACATTTGAAGCGGTTGTTCTAAATTTTTATGTTTAATTATTTCCTTCTTAAAAAAAGAATGAAAATATTTTTTCATATTTTTAGGAAATGAGTTTAAAATCTTCAAAGGATTTTAGTTTATATTGATTTATATTTTTTTTTTTTTTTTTGTCTCATTAACATCAGTTGGCCAAAAACTGATAACTAAATGTTTTCTTTTATTAATTTTATTTATTATTCTATAAGAGTTTAAAAACTCTAGTGAACTAACGTCTAACTTTTATTTTCAGTTATATAAGTTCAGATTGAGTCGCAGAACTTTTTACATTTGTAGAAAATAGAAAAAAAAGTATAAAAGAGTTTGTTCACACATGCGTTAATTAAAAACGTCTTTGGTTTGTCCTGGCCCCCTGGTCAAAAATGTTTATTCTTTTAAAAGTTCTGATGATTTTTCCTTTGACATATTCACTTAAAATAGTTACTTAAACTAATTTATTATTATCCATTTGGCCATTTAGAACAGTGTGTGAACAATCCAGTCGGCGATTTTTCTTTCTTCAACAAACAATTAGTTGTAAAGTTTTTTTTTTTTTTAATAAAACAAAAATTTCAAATATAAAAATAGAATTAAAAATAAAAATACCATTCTTAGGCACATCGCTAGTAAAGGGGCATACTTGTCTAAGATTTGTTTGAACCCCTTACCAAAACTATTTTTAAACTTTAGTTTAAAAAGTTTTTTGATTCCACAGTTGAATTGCGGATTCTATTTTATTCTATTCAACTTACGTGAACAAAGATTATGTAATTATGATTATGTAATTATGTAATGTGCAAAAGTAATATATATAACTTTAGTAATGCAAAAGATCTGAGGCTTTTGCATTAGCAGCATTTTTTTAGATCCGTCCCTTTATAATAATAACAGATAAACACACTCACGCGACATTAAAGATTATGTACAGCACTGTTTCATTTGGACCACTTAGCAATAGAATCTGCAAAAAATTTATTCAATCAAATAGAATAGAGCTTGTTTTCTGAAGCGATAACAAAGCATTAGTTTCAATTTTATGTAACAACAATTTTTTAAGATTGACACATAAAAATTTGATCAAATCAAAAATGTTTATTCTTTTAAAAGTTCTGATGATTTTTTCTTTGACATATTCACTTAAAATAGTTACTTAAACTAATTAATTATTATCCATTTGGCCATTTAGAACAGTGTGTGAACAATCCAGTCGGCGATTTTTCTTTCTTCAACAAACAATTAGTTGTAAAGTTTTTTTTTTTTTTATCATTTTTTCGCATCATTTTGTTAGGTTTACCGAATTTGAAAAAATAAGCAAACGTTAATACGAAGTTTTAATATTATAAATAAATAAAAAACTCTAAAGTTTTTCCTTCGTTAATCTTTAACAAAAATAAAAATTAAAAAGACTTAAAATTTAAAATTTTAATAAAAATTAAAAAGATTACTTTTTTTTAATAGTAAAACTAATAATTAAAAAAAATAAGCAAAAAAAAAAAAAAATACATTTACAAACAATACAAAGTTATATATTTATGACAAAATTTAATAAAATACATTTTGAAAAAATCTTGATATCATATATCAAGTTGTGATATATAATTTCATTTCAACACCAAAAGCTCATTATTACTTTATTATTTTTCCGATCATTAAACAATTTGTGCAATGACAGATTTGACAACAAGAAGAAAGCACCTCAGTTAAAAAAAAAATTTTAACATTTTTTTTATTTGAATAATAATGTTTTACGTTAAGGTGGTATCCAGCCATTAGTTCTATTTTTTTATATTTTACACATAATAAATACCTATGATGAATTACTAGCATAATAGATAAAAATCTAAAACGTAATGCAATTTTTTTTTTTAAATTAATAAAAAATAATTGCTGACTCAGCAAAAAAAGGTGAAAATGTTAAGGTCACAAGAACATAAATATCTTAAGAATAAATCAATATTATGGGTTTAAATTTTGCAAAAAGCTAGTACACTAGTGTAGCTAGTGCCTGAACCAAAAATTTTTGAAAAAAATTTAAACAATCAAAAATGGCAGACTTAATGATATAAAAAACTATTTTTTAGCGATAAAACACTAATTAGATATGGTATTTGTAGGTTAAGCTTAATTTTTTTAATCGTTTTTTCAGGTTCAGGCACTAAAAACATCAATAATGAACATATCCTGAAAATTTGAAGCTAAAACAATGTTTTTTTATTGAGATATCATTGTTTTGCTACAGCCACCCGTACAAAAAACAAAAATTGAGAAAAATCAATTTTAAAATTATAAATCATGTATACTACTCAGATAAATCAATTATACTACTCAGATACTACTCAGATAAATAAATTATTTTTGAAAAAATATTTTTTCTATTGAATTCTACAATGTTCAATTGTATGAATAACATTTTTTCAAAATTTTCATTTTTTTTTTATTTTTCACCAAAATAATGGCTGGATACCACCTTAACGTCATTTGTTTTTTATGAAACGTTAGCAAGACTTCAAAGATGGTCCATATCTTGTTAAAGATTAGTTATGGAGCTAGAAATTAATGGTAAAAAACTCATTTTGAAAAAACGCTCATTGTTTTTTTTTGTCAATTTATTTTTAAATATATAATTTTTTTTTTTAGGAACTTCTTATAAAATTTTTTTTGAGACATTTCAGCATTCCGGTTCATATCATCTATTGCAAAATTACTTTAATTGTGTTTTACTTCCAATCTTCCTTCAATTATATATTATTATTATTATATTTATTTAACACCCACTATATAATAGAAGTAAGGTAAATAAAGTTACTTCGAAAGTCAACTTAGTATGCTCATTTATTTGGTATGAATTTTTAAATATTTTTAAAATGCTGCTTAAAACTATTTTTATTTATAAAAATAAATTTAAGTAGTGGTTAGAACGCTTGCTTTACTTATGTGAATTTCGTATATTTACGAAATGCGCACATAAGTGCGCCTTTGATATACCAATCAAAAAACCTCTCTAAAAGTTATAGTTCAAGCCTTTTAGTCTTAAATATTAATCTTTTGTGCTTCTACACAAATAAATTGAGCTTAGGAGATTTGGAATTTTTAATTTACGTATAGCTTTTATGTACAAAACACTGAAGATAATTGACAAAAATATATGTAGTTTCAGCCAAGATGGCTTTGAGAAATAGGATTATAAATGATCCAAATGAAGTTCTTCAAATCTTTGATGAAAAAGACGATGTTAGTGATTTGTCTTTTGAGTCTTCAGAGTCTGATGACAACGAATTCCAAGAACTGATGCCTGATATTTTCTCAACAACAACTCCATCGACAATGACATTATCATAAGTCAGTCATCATCATCAGAAATAATTTCATCTTTATCATCTGAAGAATATGTTAGTTCCGAAGATGATTTAACAGAAAATATAGATGTCACTTTTTCTATTAATAATTTAGTAACTAACGATAATAAAGGAATCTTTACAAAAGCATTTGTTGATAGCAATGATCCTGTAAATAATAAAAGAAAAATCTGTAAACAATCAACTGTAAACGACTTCATACCATTAATACCAAGAAGCCTACTATTAGTAAAGATAATAGAGAATGGAAAAAAAATAAAATTATTAGAACTATTATTCCATTTATGGCAACACCAGGACCAACATTTAGAAGATCTGCAATACCTAAATGCGATAAAAATATCAAACCAATCCATCTCTTTGAATTGTTCTTTGATAATGCTTTAATACAAAAACTTGTCACTGTAACAAATAACTACCATTCAAGAAGGTTACAATCTTCTCCTATAAAGTATAGAATGGTATGGGTTGATGTTACGTCAAATGAAATTAAAGTATTTATAGTAATTTGTTTAGCCATGGGAATAATAAAACTTTCATGCATCCATGATTACTGGAGACAAAAACTTTGGTTTTTTGCTATTCCATCTTTTAGTAAAATAATGTTTCGTGATCGATTTAGACAAATTCACCGTTATCTTCATTTTTGCAATGAGACAGCAGCAATACCAAGGGGTAATGAAGGATACGACAAACTCTTCAAGGTGCGTATGCTGCTAGATGACCTTTGTCCTAATTCAAGAAATCTTTATAAACCAAAAAGAGACACTTGCATTGATAAGAGTATGATACCTTTTAAAGGAAGAATCTCTTTCCGAAAATTTATTCCAAGCAAACGTACAAGATTTGGAATAAAAGCTTGGGTAATGGCAGAGCCATCTACCGGGTACATATCAGAGTTCTTGATTTACACTGGAAAAGATATTGATGGACAAAAGCACCATCATCTTGCAGGAACTATTGTCTGTTAACTAAACCAACATGTTTTAAAACAAGGATACCATTTGTGGTTTTTGTTCATTTTGCAATGTCCATTTATGCTTTGATTCAGTCTCTAATTGTTGGAATATGTGGCATTCATAGTTTTATTTTTAAAATTATGTATCTATACATTCACTTTTGTTGACAAAATATAATAAATAAAATAGCTGAAAAAAACTTGTATTTGCTTTACACAATGGGTGGGTTTATTATTTTTTACTTATCTAAATAACGAAAGTATCCCATCAAATTAGTTACTTTTCCTTATAGGTATTTTTAATATTTTTATTGAATAAGAAAATTAGGCAAAAAACAAAAATTTGCGTCACCAGAAAAAAAATGTTAATTATTTAATTTCTAATTATCTAAATTAGAAAAGTGACCCATCAAATGAAAGCTGAATAAATTTTGCACCGTTTTTCAAGTCTTTATTTACTTATAAACAATATAGCTAGCTATTTGAAAGGCTTAATTCGCAACTATTTAAAATTCGCAAAGCTTCTTTATCAATATGAAATAATGTAGACGTCATAAATTTAAATTTTTTACTTTCTTATTTTTATTTTTACATTCTAAATTTTGCCTGCTTTCCAAGGATATATACTTTGTTTAACTTATTTTGTAAGGAAACCCATGTATTTAAGTGTTTTCGTGACATAGTATTGCGCTTTTTAAGTCGCCTAAATAAATCCCGGCACGAAAGGCATAAGCAGGAGCTCCAGGTTCGAAAACGAGCTTTGGACATATTTTGCGACACGGTAAGGAAGAAGGCGTGATCTTCCTTGTTAAATGCACTTCAGCGGTGCTCTGTGACAAGACCGTTAGGACTTCTTGGGGCACCTAAAAAAAATCCACTTGGTTTCTATGTTTGTTTATTAACGTATATTTTGATCTTATAGAAGGGTTAATAGAAGGGTTTTGTTTTTTCTTTGTTGTTTATGTTTTTGAAACTTTGTTTAACTGTTGTATTCATTTTTTTTTTCAACGATATAAGTATAATATATTATCTTATATTTTATATCTTATATGAAAAAGCTAAAATCGTAAATTCCGTTAATAAGATACACGCATCAAATGCCAACAATGAAGAAAATAATTTCGTGGAAAATAACTTAGTGAATAGAAATAGTAAAATTAATTATTAAACATAAAATAGGTCGTTGCTAAAAAAAAAGTGTCTGAACCCATTTTCAAAACAAAAAAGTTTTGAAAAAAAAATAATTGCAAGCGAAAGAATAAATAGTAAAATCGGCATTTTTTTTTTGAAGGGCATTTTGAAGGGAATTTTTTTTGAAGGCATTCAAATTAGTGAAGGATAAATAGGAATCACACCCTTATCTGTTGCTTTAATCTATATAAGATAAGATAGTTTAATGATAAATTTCATATAAGATATGAGTGTGATTACTATTTATTTTCCATCATTAATATAAATACTTACCCCTCCAACAAAATGTCGGTTTTGCGAATTATTCTTTCGTCTACAATTGCTTTATTTGTTTGTTTTTTCAAAAAATTTTGTTTCGAAAATGGGCTTTGACACTCAATGTTTTTTAGCAACGTACTAATTTGTTTTTGATAATTAATTTCTTTTTTTCTATCCATAAAAGCAATATTATTTTCTTCATTGTTGGTGTTTGATACTTGTAATTTGCTATCAGAATTTACAATTTTGGCTTTTGGATTGATATTTATGGTTATTTTGCCGACCACCCAAAGGGTAAATTCCCTTAATGGCTGTTATTCAACGAAATAAAGATAATAAAGTTAGACCCGTTTTGGACTGGAGAGAAGCTAATAGTTTTATTGAAACGTATACATTAGATATAGATGTGTGTATTGAGAAGCTGAGGAAATGGAGAAGAATGGGAAAGAAACCAGCAATTATTGATTTACGTAAGGCTTATCTCCAATTAAAAACTGAAGAATCTCTTTGGCTATTCCAAACAGTGGTTTTTCAAAACAAAAGGTATTGTTTGACACGGCTGGGTTTTGGATTAAACGTTGCTCCAATGATCATTAAATCTGTTGTGAGTGTCATTATTGATCAAGATGAATTGGTGAAGAGAGGAGCATCCGCTTACGTGGACAATATTTTTGTCAATGAGAACGTAGTGAGTCTTGATTATGTCAAAAGACATTTTGAAAAATATGATTTAGAGACTAAAGAAGGTGAACAGATTGGATGTAATGGGGTTTGTATTTTAGAATTACGTGTGTACAAAGTTGGTGGCAAGTTGACCTGGTCCAGGGAGAATCAAGTCGACGCAATGCCGAAAAAGTTAAGGAGAAGAGTAGTATTTTCCGTTTGTGGGCAGTTGGTAGGTCATTTACATGTATGTGGTTGGTTACGTGCAGTTTGTAGTCTTTTGAGAAGAAGAGTGGTTAGTTTGACGAAGGGTTGGGACGATGAAGTTTGCGATGAAAATTTAAAGCGTGTACTTCAAGAGGTTTATAATGAGGCTGCAAAGTGTGATCCAGCTTATGGTGATTGGGCTGTGCATGATGACGAGGGGAATGTGTGGGTTGATGCAAGTTCTTTGGCGAGTAGTGCAGCTATTCAAGTTGGTAAAACTACTGTAGAAGATGCAACATGGCTACAAAAAGAAATGTCTGAGGATCACATAAACATGGGGGAGCTGGAGGCTGTAATGCGAGGAATACATATGGCTTTGACGTGAAAGTTATAGAAAATAACTATCTTCACAGATTCCGTGACAATGTTCCACTGGTTCTCTGACGCTCTCACTGGTAAGTCAAGATTGAAATCAAAACCAATGGGTGAAATGTTGATTAGAAGAAGATTAAGCGTTCTGCAACAATGTATTGAAGAGCATGGTATTAATGTGAATGTAAAACTTATTCCTTCAAAAGACAACTTAGCTAAGCATTGGCTAGAGTTCGAAGTAGATAGTTGAATAAATTGACGGAGGCTAAGCATTCGATGGAACAGTATTTGCAGATGCTGAATCCATTTCTAGCATACACAAGAGAACTGGACATTTTGGAGTGAATCACACTCTAAACTTTGTTCGTAAAGTAATTCTACCCGCTACCGAAAATGACGTTAGAGAAGTAATTAAAAATTGCGAACCATGCCAGTCAATAGATCCAGCACCTGTACAATTGGAAAAGGGAAAATTGGGCGGTAAAGAAAATTGGGAAAGAGTTGCCATGGATATCACACATTTTGGAACAGAAAAATTTTTAACTCTGGTTGATTGCGGACCTTCGAGATACGCATTGTAGAGACAACTTTCAAGTTCATACGGAAGTATTGCCATTACTCGAATACTCCGTCTTATCTTTTGCGAGCGAGGAGCATTATCTGAAATTTTGACAGATAACGAAGCAACTTTTAAAACTGAGGAGTTAAGAAGTTTTCTTGATTGTTGGGGAGTGCGCATTAGGTTTCGAGCTGCTTATTATCCCGAAGGAAATGGAGTTGTAGAAAGAAATCATTGTACAATTAAGAGAATTGCAGAAAGATCAAAAATGTCAATACCGGAAGCAGTGTATTGGTACAACGTGTCAGCTAACAAAAACAATGCAAGCCCGATGGAGAAAATATACAGGTATAAGTATTGAAAAAATATACAGAAATAAGTATTGAAAATGTATGGAGAAAATATACAGGTATAAGTATTGAAAAAAGATAATCTTCCGACAAAGGCTGACACAAATGAAGTGTTTAAAAATGGTGATAATGTTTGGTTGAAACCATCAAATGCAAAATGCCATACTAAGTGGCAGCCAGCAAAACTAACAGGAAATATTTCAAAACAAGTTGTCGAAGTTAATGGCGTTTTGCGTCATGTAAAACATATCCGATATCGAAATAACATTCAACCATGCGATATTCCTAAAGTGAACGCAGACAGTGGTCAAGATAGCGCGGCAAACCATGGTGAACAAATTAAAAATGTGTTTGAGACAAGCAAAGGAGACGTGTTACTTGGAAATGGTGAAGCCAAAAATAGATTCTAAGAAACAGTGCCTTTGCCACGAAGTACTCGAGAACGACGCATGCCCCAAAAATACGACGATTATTATTTGTATGATCCGAAAGGACCAACGATGAGTGTAAATAAAGTGGAGAAAGTTCTAGAACATTTTAAGGCGCGGGTCCAGTCATCCGTTTTTTTCACGGGAATGGGGTAGGGAAGGGAAAAATAATCACGTGAGCATGCGTAGTCTTCCTTTGGGCATATTAAAATTAGTATTACTAGGAGAAGTAGGAAAAGCTTTCACTTCACTAATTTGGTCAGTGATTTGCAAACAATAATTATGTTTTTTTTTTAATATTTGAAGAAAATGCTTTTGAAAGACCTTGCTTAATAATCTGATTCGTTCTCTCATCCTGTCTATTTGTTTGTGGATGATTAGCAGATGCTATTAAATGCCTAATATTAAAAGTAAAAAATAAATACTTATTTAACCAAATTAAAAGTAGAAAATAAAAACTCATTCAAGCTATTTACAAATTCTCAAACTTGGTCTGATTTTTGAGGGCCAAACTTTTTTTTGAGGGCCAAATCGATAGAACAAAGTAACAAGACACTTAGAAACAAAAAAAAGCTGATTTTTCTGGTATTGAAAAACCTTCAACATGCATACTCCAAAGGTCAGTAACAGTTAAAATGTATTTATAACCTTGCGTTGTAAGCGGATGGGGACCAATAATGAACTAGACCAATGTTGAAAATCAGTTTTAATGCAAAGACGACAATTATTAGATGAGAAAATTTGATAAAAAATATATTCAATTGAAATATTTAACGCTGTTACCTAGCAAATAAAAAACACTTTTTAGCTAAATTCTTGTGTTATTAAGGCCAACATGAGGTTCATGATTAAATTCGTGCACATCTCTAAAAGCATGTTTTTTTTTCTTCATCTGTTAAAAGAACTTGCAGCTTAATAGAAGCAGTTACATAGTACAGCATTCCATTTAAGAGACAAAAATAAATGACAAATGTTTCTACACTTTCATCAAACAATTTTAAAAAAATGTTCATTTGAAGACTAGTTTGCAGAATTTTGTTCGCAATATTTACATTTGCATGCCAAAGCCTTTCGCAAAGGTGTATAACTTTTGAGTATTTGTATTAGCTTATGCAATATTAGTCATTGTAAAACTATTTCTGTATTGTTTAGAATCTTATATAAATTATATTATATAAATTATATCATATTTAAATGCGTTGTAAACGTTTGCATATAATATATGCAAACGTTTACAGCACATGTAAGCATTTGTAAACATATGTGGCATGTGTATACAAAACGTATATTAAACAGTTACTTTTGTATATATTTATTTGAAGATTACTCATTGCAGAATTGTAACTGCAATTTTTACAATCGTATATAATTAAAAGGCTTTAAAAGGCGGTTTTAAAACACCAACACCCAATTTCAAATTTTTTTTTCTATCATGTTTTTTAATGAGTTTATTTTGGAAAGCTGTTTTTATAATCATTAACTTCTAATTTTACTGAACAAATGTTGTGTAATTTTAAAAAAATCATAAATGCTAATGATTTAAGGTCAAGTTATTCGTTTTTTTATAAATATAACTCTTAATAGTATAATTTTTTTAATATGTTAATTTTGATCAATTAGTTTTTATAAATTTTCAAATGCTCTAAAACTAATATGAACTTAATTTAATTGCATTTATGATCTATGGATCTTAAACATAACAATGATTATTTAAATAAAACCGACTATAACTTGAAAATCGCCTTCTTTCGGAGGAGGTGGTGAAAAACTGTAAAATCACCTCTAGGTGTAAACTGATCGTAATAGGGCATAACAAAACATTTAGGGAAAAAAAAGTTTAATTATGAGTCAACTTCGAAAATTCTTTATATGGATTAAACTCAACTGTTACTTTTTTGGAAACATTCAAGCCGTCCCTGAAAGAGGGGGGGGGATGGAAACCGAAACAAACTGCCCCAGGAGCCCCTTGCACTGGAGGGCGTCACGGTAATTCTTCTTTTTAGCGGTCTTTATTAACACATTAACTTTTTGTTTCAATCATTTAATTCTTCTGCATAGTTATGCAGTGCATCCATTGGGTTAACCCTTTTTGTCAGACATGACGTTATACCAGTATAAAGCCTCCGCGTTAGAGATTCTTAATCGCTCTGCTTTTCGCTTGATAGTACAGTAGTATTCTTCTTTAATCTGAAAAATATATTTAAAAACTTTTTATAAACATAATTCATTAAATGGACTAAAGAGTAGGAAAAACAAACTTTTGTTTTTCCTACTCTTGTAATAACGAGTTCAGCCCACTTAAGAGCATCATTACACGCTTCGCAGACCAAGAGTAAGTGATTTTGGGAAGAACAAAGGAATTAGAGTGAAGGTCAGAAGAAGTTGAGTTGAAAAGATAGCATAGAGAAAGCGGACAGATATTGCACTTGCTGTTAGAAAGTGCAATCATACTATTAGGTTACCTAATTAATGTATTTGTATAAACGTAGTTTGTAAGTGTAAACGTTAATTTATACATATTATAACTAATGTTTGTACATTTATAAGTTATTCTATAACCTTAAATTGATAAAAATAACTTTCATTTTAAAATAGTAGTTTTAGTAAACTGCTGATTGCATTCAAAGCGGTTATTTTAGAAAACCGCTCAAAAGATATTTTTGACACGAATGTTTTTTTACAAATTGCTAATAAACTATTATTAGACGACCTTCGCAGATCAGCTATAACATTTCAAAGCATGAGAAATAGTAATCAAAATAAGTGTCATTTACTTAAGTAAAGAAAAGAAAATAAGTTGTTTTAATATTTGATATTATCTTTTAAAAAACATTTAAACATGCAAAACATCTACTTTTTTTATATATAGGAAGTAACTCGTGACGTAAAAACTACGTACGTCAATAATAGCAAAAACCTAAAGTATATTGTTTGATTTTTTTTTACTTGTGTTTAGCAGAGCAGAAAAGGATAAGCGACACTTTAAGTGAATTTATATATTTTTGACTTTTAATGTTGTTTATACTATAACGCTAAAGTTTGTATGTAGTTTATATAAATATATATTCATGTACTTATATATATATATATATATATATATATATATATATATATATATATATATATATATATATATATATATATATATATATATATATATATATATATTTATATATATATTTATATATATATATTTATATATATACATATATATATATATATATATATATATATATATATATATATATATATATATATATATATATATATATATATATATATATATATATATATATATATATATATATATATATATATATATATATATATATGTACACACACACACATGTTTTCACAAAATATGGAGTTTTTTTATAAAGTATATAATATCTAAAGTACCAATTATTTTAATAGATTTTTTTAAAGTTAAAATAGATTGCGTAATTAAAATGATATAATAAACTATATTGTTTTATATTTTAGTTTAACCTATATTATAGGAGTTTAAACTAAGATACAAAAAAATGATACAAGTCTCATAATTAGATAGAAAAATTCTAATAATCCAACATAAATGCATTTAAAAATTGCTTAATTATATTCGAATTAAGAACTTGACAAATGTTTATAAAGTCGAAATTAAAACAGGAAAAAATTTAGTGATGTTTCAAGAAACAAAACTCTGTTATATTTGCATAATTTATTTTTTTATTCATATATTTTGTTCTTTTTTATGTGCATCGTTTTCTTTTATTTTTATTCAATCTTGCTGGAAAAATTATATAATCATATATATATATCAAATAATCATATATATCAAGTTTTATTTAAGTGTCTGTAAAACAAGTTTTTATTCATTCTATACAGTTCAATTGTTTGTTTCTTTAAATAGCAAATGTTTTGCTTAATATAACAAGAGTACGTCTTAACATTTAAATTTGTAAAGAACAAATGATTCAATATCTAATAGTATTTTTGGAAAAAAAAACATTAAATATTTGGTGAAGTAAAAACCAAAATGATGGTGAGTGACTCAAAATGTCATTTTATTACGTGTTTAGCGTTTTGTTTAGTTAAATCAAACACTTTTCATATTACTTTTTCTTATTAGAATTTTTCTTCTTATATGGCTTCAACAATTTTATATTCATTTTTTGTTGTTTATTTTTACATTTTATTGTTTCAACTCTACTCGCATATTTACATTTTAAATGAGGAACACTATGTTAACATGTGTATTAAAGAAAACAAATTTAACAATTGTTATTAATTTGTACTAGTTTTAATATCACAAGCTAACTTGGTAATGAAATCTCTCTCTCGTTATAATTTTGAAATTTATGCAATTATCGATAAATATTTCTTACGTGTTTTGTTAATTATGGGTCAAGGGTTTCAATTAAAGGAAATCGAAATGTTGAAGTATTTTTAATTCTATAATTACTTAGTTTTGAATGGTTAAGATTATCGCGATTTGTTTGGAAATATATATTCCTTTGCAATTCTTTTTTTTTTTTTTTGTATTTCTTTTTTAATATAAATAGCAGTTGCTTGACATACCTTTGAAATACTTTAAACTGTACTTTAAACTGTACTTTAAACGCTTGTTACCTTATCCATTTATAGGTTCGTTTTTCAAATTTGCATCATTTTGATATTAGGCGCATCATTCGATGACATTATTTAATTAAAAAAAGGGTGGAGGAAAAATCCACTGTTAATTTTAACTATATGCCGCTCAATTACAAAAAAACTAGAACATTTTGGATTTATATAACTATAATTTTAAGGAAAATAATTTCGTTTGTTTTAAAAAAGGTTTTAAAAGTTATTATGTGTGTTGTTTAGGATCAAACTGAAAATATTTATAAAATTGGAATTCAAGAAAGTATGTCTCTCGTAGACGAACAAATTCTAAATTTTGATAAAGTTGAAAAGCAAGAAACCAAGTCTCTAATTAACCAGCAAAACGAAAACTTCGATGAAACAAATAAACAAGAAAAAAAAGATTTCGAAAAGTTAGATGTTGATGGAATTTTATTTCTCATTGGAGAATTTGGGCGGAGCCAAATATTATTGATGATTATGTTAAGTTTGCTAATGATACCAACTGCTTACCAGTCCCTTTCTATTACATTTATTGGACTAAACCCACCTTGGCGTTGCACAAATAATAGCAAGGAATGTAATAGGCAAGGCGAGTTTTCAATAAACGATGAATTTTATAAGCAAAGATGTTCAATGAAAAGAGATTCTTGGACTTACGTAAAAGAAAAAGATTTTTCCATAGTTACAGAGGTATATAAATTTTTAAAAATTACTTTAGTCGTCAGATATTTAATCAGTTAACAGTTTTTTTTTTTTTTTTAAAGTACTTTAACTTTTCTTATTTTCTGTTGTTTTTTTCTAATGTTTTATATTTAAAATAATATGATACAAAAATCCGATATGTTCTGAAATCAGAATTCTATTATGATCATACCTTAAAAGAATAGGGAAAAAAATCATTATTTTACGCATATTAAAAATATATTTTATTTTTAAGGTCGAGTGGACGTTTGATCTTTACAAGTAAAGTTTTATTATAAATACAACTATGTCAATTTCAAAAGCTATGACCATATCAATTCTAACTTTGAAATTTAGAATTTATCAAAAAATATAAATTTATATGAGAATAGTTTTTATCAAATTGTTGATCTCACGTTAAGGGCAGTTGTGTCCAAAATTTTAAGGGTTTTTTGTTTCCAGACTCCAATCATCAGAAATATTTGCAAAGCATCTTTATTTGACATAAATATAAATATATAAATATTTGGAGTTTGCTCCATCTCTAGAATCAACTATATAATACATCGAAAAACACTGTATCCGCCATACATACATACATACATACATACATACATACATACATACATACATACATACATACATACATACATACATACATACATACATACATACATACATACATACATACATACATACATACATACATATATAAATACATACATACATACACAAATACATACATACATAAATATATATATATATATATATATATATATATATATATATATATATATATATATATATATATATATATATATATATATATATATATATATATATATATATATATATATATATATATATAGCGAAGGTCATGAATTGGAAAACCGTTTTATGACCATCTTTGGCCAAAGCTGTAACATTTCGTAGGTCTAATTGGGTTTACGAAAATTACCTTTTAGTCAAATGTTATCTAATTACATTATTATTATTAATATTTTAAATAGTTTAAAGTTGCTACTAATAAAAAACGCATTGGCACCATAATTAGACAGCAAAGATTTTTATCGTTTTTGCTGCTCTCAATTGAGAACGCTATTCGAAGTTTACGACATTATTTTTCAATTTGCACGCCCAAAATTTTGTGAAATGTATATTTAATCATTTATACAAATTTTAATTCTGACATGACTTTATATTATGTATGTGACATATCGAAATGACACATTTTTGTGTCATTTTGATTTTTTGTATATTATGAAAAGTACATAATATACAAAAATACATAAATATATATCTATAGCCCTAATTCAATGATAAAGATGTTAATTTTTTGCAACTTTTCATAAAAAGTAAAAAATTGCGGACGTTTTGATAAAAAGTAAAAAATTGCGGACGTTTTGAACGAAATTTCGTATTTCTTAAAATAAAGCTATGGGAATTTTTAAGGCAAAAAATATCGCCGTAAGGAATCGTCCATAAATTACGTAACGCGAAATTTAACTAATACACAAAAGAAAAAGTGTTAAAAGTTTTCCCTCGCAGAGTCTTTAATTAATCCATGTATAAATAACCCTTCAAGTCCAGCGAAAGCCGCCGCTCAAAAGAGCAAAATGTTCTCTTACTAATATTTTTTAAAATAAGCTTTGCGTTGCGTAATTTGTGTACGATCCCTAAATGACCTTAAAATTTGGATAGTGTGTGTACGAGGGAGGTGGGGGGAGGAGAAGAAGAGGATTTAGGGTTAATTAAATCTCTAGTCCCATCCCAATATCAATATTTTGGTTTCGCCTCTGCCTATATAAAACCTTATTTGACACTATTTAAAAACAATAATAGTTTGTTCTGCGTCTGTAAACAGTTTATTCGAAAAACGTTTTTCATATGTCACTGAGTAATAAACTTTTTTTTATGAGCAGAAATCTTACTTTTTCACTAATTTCTAAAGATCCTGCAGACTAATTTCCTAATTTTTACAACGTGTTCCTTTTCTTTAATTTATATTCAATCCAATATATACGATTTACGAGAAAAAAAAATTATAGAATAAATTTTAAGGCCCCCTTTCCCCCAAGCGTTTGAAACACCCAACAAATTAGGACCAATTAGGCCGGCAGGACACTAAAAATTGTTAACATTTTTTTTTTTCTTTTTTTTTTCTTAGCCACATTTTTATATAAATGTTCAATATATAAAACAACGTGTAAATTTGATTTCAAAAATCGATAAAATATGAAACACCATAATGGTCACTGCTGGTACTAGACGGCATGTAAATTTTGAAAGCATATTGTCAACATCCGAAAAAACTTCGCAATTGAATGGACAGATTCTACTGATTTTAAACCCTGCAAATGTTTTTTATTGTCATTCGGAGAGGAAATGCATAGTTTACACAGTTGCAAAAACTTACTATAGCTTTATTTTTATGAAAAGTTGCAAAAAATTACCATCTTTATCATTGAAGTAGGGCTATAGATATATATTTATGTATTTTTGTATATTATGTATATTTAAGTGTAAAAATATATCATGCGTTTTTTTTATAAAATCTGCTCTTTAAAAGCTATATTATTACTGAAATTCAATTTATTTAAAAAACTAGTACTAAAGCTAGAAATAATCAACTGGATAGACTAAATGACGGTTTCACTAACTATCAATTTTATTACTAAATTTCAATTGGATCTCAAATTCCGGTTTACAACTATATGTCTAAATTACAGTTAAATAGTAGTTTTAAGCAAAATTGACATAAAAATCACTGTTTTTTAATGAAATACGTATATATTTACAAAATTAGTCATCAGAAGGTATATAAAAAATCGCCTTGTTATTTTCTATATTTTTGAAATTATAAACCGTAAAATAACATTTTTGAAAAAATAAAATGTTTTAATGCTTGGCTTAGTCTTCCCTGGCTCACCCGGTGTTTACAGCTATTTATAGGTCATTAAAAAAATTATCTTGGAAAACTGACCTTGAACTAAGTATTATTTGAGCTTAATAATAAATAGCAAATTAATAATTTTTTATTTATTTTTGTTCTTTTTAAGTTAAATAGATTTAGAGAACTTAGTGCAATGCGGTTAAAGGGATCTCTAATCTTGTTGCCTCAAGATTAGAATGTATATGGAAAATCTTCAACTAATTCTCATCGTTTTGTTGTAGAATTTTTTTAATGAAAATTGATTAAAAAAAACGAAAGAAAACGTTTTAGTAAGAAAAAATATGAAAGCTGTAATATCTTTTTTAAAAAGATATTACAGCTTTCATACTATTTGACAAAAAGTTAAAGTTTTTGCTGAAAAAAGGCAATTTAGCTAATAATTCTTTCAAAAAAATGCCAACTCGAGCTAGTTCAAGTAACTTATAGTTGCTTTTTTATCTAAAAAACAAAGCTACTCAATATCCTAAACTACCCCACAAGAGAGGGTAGATTTAAACACTGTTGGGGCAGATTAGGAAATATAATAAAAATATAAGAAATGTTTCTTAAAATTTTCATTTTTTTATTAGAAGTAATTATTTAGAATAACAAACTCATTGACAGCAACAGATTTTATAACGATCTCATGCATAGAAAGTTTAGTAAAGACGGCAATTGACACCGACCACTTACTTTGCATAGCAGAAAAAGTAAAAAATATTAAATCCTGCTTTCTTCAACAAATTAACATCTAAAATATTTGCAATTATTTCTTCAATTTTGCAAACAAAAGCTAAATTGAGTTGTTAACAGATGATGCACATTGGACTAAACAAAAATCTCTAGGATTTAGTGCTTCTATTTTTATTTTTTCTGTGTCAGTCTTGTCTTTAAAATTTAGGCATATTTTATTTTGCAGACAAGAATTATTTTTATCATGCAAACCGGTAAAGCTAGACAGCCATGTAGTAATTAAGTTTTGTTTTTTTGGTTGTTACGCTTGTTAATTAACTTCTGTTTTCTGTACGCAGTGGATAGTCAGCTAAAAGTCAGTATCGGAAAAACAAAAATTATCCTACCGATATCTATTTTTTTAATTAAAAAATATCACGTGTTACAATAAAATAACTAAATAAAAACATAATTAAGTTGTATTAGGCAGTATAATGTATAAAAACTATTCATTGTGCGCGGGCGTTCCGGGTTAGAATCCTATTCGTTGTAGATCTTTTTCAATTTTTATTGTTTTTTTCTATGTTTTATGTTTATGCAATTATGATCATTTATTGGCTAAATTATTTGGGGATATGCGCAGTGAATAGCACAATGATTATTCATGCATCATTAAACACAATGGAGTATTCATACCGACTGATTAGGGATACGCACCCAGGAATGTACATCCACTTACTAATATAGGGATAGGCGCAGTGAAGTGTACACATATTTACTACTTTAGGGATAGGCGCAGCGGAATGCACATGCACCGACTGACTTTAATAGAGAAAAGTGATGCAAAATGTATGCTCATATACTTTTTTTTTTTTTTTTTTTTTTTTTTCAACATCTTCACTTCCAACAAGGCTGCAAGCAACCACTATAAGAGTTGGAAGTTACTGGAAGAGAAAAGACTAAATCTGTAGAGCAAGATAACGATTGACTGATGACTTAAAAGATTGCAAAATATATGAATCAGGAAAGCAAGATGAAGGAAGCGAATTCCAAAGAACTGATGTTCGAGGAAAAAAACTAGAAGAATAAGAGTTTTTGAAGCACTTAGGAACAGTCACAGAAAAAGGATGAGACTTAATTGAATGGCGAGTAACACGAGAGTGAATTTTAGTAGATGGCACAAGGGACGCTAGCTATGTTTACAATTCGTTTTTGCACCTTGTCTAAAAGAGAAAGAGCATCATTAGAAGATCCGCCCCAGATGTGGCAACAGTATTCCATACAGGGACGGATTTGAGATTTATAGAGATAGAGAATAGAATCTGGAGTAGGAAAGTGTCGAGCTCGATAAAGAGATGCAACCTTAGCAGATGCTAATTTTCAATGGATTTGATATACGGTTTAA